ACCCTGGGAAGGGAACAGGAACTGGGGGCGCGCGAGGTCGGAAACGCTACAACTGAAGTCCCCAGTTCTGAAGCTCAGCCTGGCCTCGGCGGGCGCCACTTCGGGGAGCCGCCTTCGCCGGTTGGTCGCACACCCCGACGGCCAAGAAGCGACGGCGAGAAGCAGCGGGTGACAGCCAGAGATAGGCAGGGAGGCCCCGCCACCAAAGGAGCACCACAGCACCGCCTCGCCTCGGCGAGCGCCGCTTTGGGGGGCCACCTTCGCCAGGTGATTTCCCGGTGCCAGCTGCGGGCGCCCCCCCCCATGGTTCGACCCTCGGCTCAGACGGCGCGGCGCCCGCGCGGCCCCGCAAGACGGGTCGGCCGATCCTCGACAGGACCAGCCAAATTCGCAGCTTGCAGGAACGGCAGCGCCGACGCTAGAAGTTTGCACAAAATCAGCGCAACAGGGATTGCCTCGACAGTCAGGTCTTGCCGAGTTGGGCGACGGCCTTTGCAGATCTGGTTGAATGACCAAGACTGCTTCTTAGTGGGCTGACCATGCTCCTTGGGCAAGCCTCGAACATGGCTCAAGGTGACAAAATAATGGCACTTCACACAGGCTGTAATAATGGAGCCACCTGGAATTAAAAGACACTCAACATGATACAGCCCCCCGATGCAAGCCCCGAAGTGCGGGGCCATCCAGCTTAGTGGCGCCAGGGCCGATCCCTCCAGGAGGGTGCGGGCTCTCTCTCTTTCTTTCTCTCTCTCTCTCTCTCTTTTTCTCTTTCTCTCTCTCTCTCTCTCGCTCTCTCTCTCTCTCTCTCTCTCTCTCTCTCTCTCTCTCTCTCTCTCTCTCTCTCTCTCTCTCTCTCTCTCTCTCTCTCTCTCTGCGCGCTCTCAAAAAGTTATGGCAGCGCTAGAATTCTGAACTCGCCCCCAATCACACATGGTCCTAGACGTGAAGAGGCCCCCTGGGCCCCTCGCGGACTGAGGGGGGGGGGGGGAGGGGGGGGGGGGGGGCCATCCGAGCACACTTAGACATGTCCAGACAGGGCCACATTGGGAGCGCGCTGGCAGCCAACGCGCAGACCGATTTGGACGCGCGCGTTCTGAAGGAAATTCTTCTCCAACTCGCCTTCAGAAGCTCTGGGGTGGGAAGCAGCACCAAGGTTTGCGGCCCTGTCGGCCTCGTCGTTGCCCGCGCGCACTCATAGCTCATGGGCAGAGATGCCCGCCTCTTGCGGGTCTAAGTGTGCGTTCATATTCCAGCCGCCTCCACCAGCATCCCCCCCCCCCATGCGATCCATCATCATGCGCTCGGCGAAAAGCTTCTTAGAATTAAGCTGCACCGCGGTGGGAGGGGCACTGCTGCACAGCAGCAGCAGCGCAGTCTGGGAAGAACGTGGAGACTGCATACATTCCCATACCTCCCTGAGCAACGCCAGCAAACTCAGCGCGCTGAGATGTTCGGTGGTGGAACGATGCCGGACGGGCCCAAACAGTTTACAAATCCCACGTACCCCAGTCCCAAGTGTAGCCAGCCCGTAGCCCGGACGGGAGAGCTCACTGACTTCGCGCCGATTGCAATTGCCATCAACAAATACGTTCCTTGAAAAATTGCAGCCATCCTGGGGGGGGCTCATCCCAACAGAACTGCGCTTGCGCGTCCCCGTCTTACAAGGCGGGGCCGGGGAAGGCGCCCCCTGGGCGCAGAAAAAGGTTTTATTTTACAACAGAGCTTCGACGGGGTCGGACATATCCGCGCCAGCGGCTAGCTGCACGATGTCAGGCGATCCCAATTAGCCACGCAAAGGAGCGACATTCGGGCGAAGCCACAGGCGGTGGCGAGGCGCATCGCCTGGCTGGCCACAGAGAGGGGAGACGTTGACGACCTGGTGCCAGCCTTCTTGGCCTTGTCGTGCGCCCACGGGGCTTCGCGCACTAAACTCCAGATCGAACCTTCCCCTTTCGCAAAAATCTTAGACGACCGAAGACGATTACGCACCACGTCGAAGCATGGGTTAGGACAGACAACACCAGCTTTGCGCGCTGCATCTCGCTCCAAACTACGAAGTGAGGCAGCATGCAACATCTGCATCAGCGCGTGAGGCGGGGCAACAGTGAGCTGCAACGACTCGCCGAATTCGTTGGCGCACGTCGCAAAGCCGGTCTTCCCCCAAGGTATCTTACCCAGCGAAAGGCGCAGCGCCATGATGGGCCCCGACACTTCACGCCTCGCAGGCATTGGCTTGGCCAACGCAGCTCCCCATCCATGCCGCAACTGGCCCTAGGTCAAAGAGAAGGGATACGATGGCGTCTGCGCGGCGCACGCCTCGTTGGCGTAGCGCACAGGGGGCGATTGCACCTAGCCGAGCAGGATCGCCATGGCGCATCACGGTGGCCGTCGGCGATCGGCCTTGGGCCCCAGCACAAAGAACCTCACCAGTTTCGCGTCGGATGCAAAGAAATTCAAAATCACCCAACCCATCAACCTCTGCGCCGTATGAAGATTAAGGAAGGGCCCCAGCAATTCAGATACGATGACAGTACTTCCCAGGACTGGGCCATACTGGGGCCATATTGAAGCCTCAGGGGCATATACTCATCATCTTAACAAACTTTTTCGTGGTGCGTTTGAGGTGATCGACCCGAACCTGGAACGTAGCCCCACGACGAGCGGCACGACGAGGTTTGCCGCCAGCGTCGCCCACGTCAGGATTCACGGCAATGTCCGTTTCAGGTTCTTTTTGAGGCCCCAGGAATTCCTTCAATGTTTTCGACACATCGCGATAGGAACCAACCAGAGCCAATGTGTCCTTCGAGATCTTGCAGCCGCACTCGTGGACGACGGCATGGGCAAGTTGAGCGCTGTCGCTCTTCAGGCCACTCACCACGTTCGCAACAGACGCCGCTGCCGGGACGCCACAATCTTCTATGTGTATCTAGGTTGTTTCAGTTACACATGTTTGGGAACGGTCAGGCCCGCGAGTGCGTCGATAGTGCAAATTTTCACCAACGGGGTGGCGAAACTGCATAAAAAAAGGCCCACCGTATACCCAGCCAGGCAAACAACACGGGCCAATACGTAGGCCGCGGTCGCGAGCTTGAAAATGCAAAGACGGAAACCGAGTTCCTTGCAATGATGCCCCATGCGAGCCAGGCGAATACCTGAATGGAATTTGGACGTGCAAAGTATAGCGGCGCTGATCATACCTGTGGATATCCCAGCCTCCGCCCTGAATCCCTGCCTCCACACTGCATCACTAGCCGACGCAAACGCCCGCCTTGCGAAGAAAGTACGCTGGCGGTTGACCCCCCACTCGAGGTCAAAGTTTCGAGAAGTTCTGCCCCGCAGCCTGCAGAGCGAGCAACAGTGGCCGATGGGTCTCCATCCTCCTGGCGGCTCCATGAGCAGCGCGAGCTGCACCACTTGGAGTTGGATTGGAAGGGCTGACATTAGTTCTATGATACGCACCAATACACCGAACACCTGGAGGCAGTCATTCCTCATCGAACTTAGTGTCTCATATGAAACCCATCCAGCCCGAGAGCGGCCCTCGGGGAGTCTGTCCTAGAGGCTCCGCGCAAGAAATCCATGGGCATGAGGGACACAGACTCAGAGGCCACCGTGGGGCTTCCACAGACAGGCATGTTCGAGGCCCTCCTATAATCCGAAAAGATGTCGGCTTGTGCCTCGACCAAGGACAAGGGGTCCGAAACCACCCCCGAGGAGCAAAGGGTCGTGGAGGGCTTCCAGCCAGCAGCAGGCCGTCTAGCTAAATGGGCGATCCTACCGCCGAGGTCGACATTGTGCCTCAGCCAGGTGGTCCACCCTTTGGCCCCATCCGCCCTGGCCGTCGTGCAGCAGGACCCTTTCACATGTAGGAAACACTTCGTCTCCTAAGAGCTGATTTGCAAAACTGTTCGACGTCACATATTTGGAGACAGGTTAAAGTCTGCGGCGATGACCGCCTCGTCGGCGTGCAATGTAGACGCCGCGCCCACTACCATCAGAATAGCCGCGTTACGCGTTGTCATCTTCTGCGAGTGGTGCAGATACATGGAGGCCGGGGAAAACGGGTGATATGTGTTGGCACATGTTCCAGGCCATGTACAGCACGATGCGGGCACGGAGTATATCCATGCGGGAGGTCGTGGAATCTGAGGAGCGACCCCGCGAGGAGAGCAACGCTTCTAGAGTTGCCTTCGCCTCGCCCTAGACACGCAGGCGCAGATAGGCGTTTGCAGGCATCCCTCAGACGCCAGTCTCCCACCCTTTTGCAGCCAGCCTCCGACGCAAGATGACGTTCCTGCAACGCATTGATGCGTGACTCAGCATGGGCGGGCCATTCCTTACAGAAGGTCCAGGAGGTCGAACCACAGGATCCGATGCACAGCGAGCAAACTCCCAAGCAGGGCTTGGGAGGGGTTCTGACAGACACAAAACCAGAACGACCCGAAGACGGACCAGGACCATAATTGGGCCCTTCGCAGGCAAAGCCTTGGGACCAGGAAGACAATTCAGGGAGGTTGGGGGACGCCGCGGCACCTCGCTGGATGTGAGCGTCAGCTTGAAAAAAAACAAGATTCAAGTGAGTGCTGGAATGCCCCCTCTCAGGCCGTGGGCCCGCGGCGGGGGGGTGGGGCTGCTTGTAAATTCTTGGCGCACCAAGACTTGCAGTCGGGGCCCTGAAGAAGGAGCCCTTTTGGTTTGGGAGAGGCTCCGCGTTCCTTAGGTGTTTCACAGCTTGCCTCAGGTTTCCCTTATGTTCCCGTTAGGAAATCGAAGGTTAACTTATGGAAAAAAAGGGGCCTCGTTCCTTATTGAGGGTTCCTTCGGTCAACGCCCCGACTGTCCGTAGCCATCTGGCTCAAGTCATTTTGGCTCAAGCCGTTCTGGGCTCAAGCTTTACTTGAGTCTTCCGCGCGCGCCGGTTCAGAGCGGCTTCGCGCGCGGGGGCCAGTCGGTTGATGCAGATTGCCTGCTCCCCCGAGTGCCTCGGTGCGGTGGCCGAGGCGTTCACAGGCAAGCAGGTTCAGGTGCTCGTGCTCCGCGATGCCGACATCGTCGAGCTTGCGATCGCCAAGACCCTGCGAGACGAGGAGTCGCGTTCGGCGCCTGTCAAGCAGGGAGTTGAGGCTACGGTCAAGGAGCAGCTCTTCGGCTTCGGGTCTGCACCCAAGGGTTCGGTGGCCCCGCCAGCCGCCGTCGCCAGCACTTCGGGGGCGCAAGAAGCTGCAGGCGCAGGCGCGCTCGGAGGGGCCCCAGGTGAAGCCACCCACCCCGCCGCCAGCACCAGGGCGTCAGAAGGCGCTGGCGCGGGAGCCGCGGATGGCTCACCAGGGGCCTTGGCTGGCTCGGGAGACGCCAGACCCTGCCGCGGAACCGCCTGCGTCCAGCGTGAGCGCTCCAACGCGGGAGCAGGCGGACAGGAAGAACCAGGTCTTGCTTCACCTGCAGTTGGACCGCATCTCCTCGCCGCAGGAGGCGCTGGCCCAGGCGGTGAAGGAGCTGCAGCAGAAGAAAGCAAGTCCCTCGCCTCGGAGGGCGTCGGCTCCGGCGTCGTGTTCGGCGCCTTCGCAGGGGGCCCTCAAGAAGCGGCGTTGGCGCCGGAAGAGGGCCAAGAAGAAGGAGGAGCTGGAGCTGGAGCCGGACACACCACCACCTTGGAGGAGGTCGCCCCCGTGGAGGCGGTGAAGACTTTCGCTTTGGATGTGCTCGACGAGGGGATCAGCACTGAGGGCGAAGAAGTGGCGGCGCAGCAGGCTGCCCCTGCCGCCGGCCTTCGCACGCTCAGCAACAAGGAGAAGAAGGAGCTTAAAAAGCAGCGGAAGCTGCTCGACGTGGAGCGCAGCCTTCGCAGGCCTGGCTGGGAGAAGGACTAAGACACGGTGCCGCTGGAGGTGCCCAACGCAGAGCACCAGCGCGCGGGCCTCGAGTGGATCTGGGAGCAACTCGTAGCCAGGGCGAAGGATCACAGAGCCCGCTTCCCACAGGAGTGGGACTGAGGGCGCCTTTTCGGGCCAGGCTGCGTTGTAGAGCGGCTTGGCCCCCTTTTCTCCTCTCAGGGTCGCGCTCAGAGGTGTTTCTGTCGCGTGTTGCGCGTCCTTGGCTCGGACAGCTATCCCCCTTGATGAGCTGCGGCGGTAGCGCTGTGGCATGCGAATGGCATAGGCCGCCAGGGGCCCTGCGCGGCTGCGCTGCGCTTTCGGGGTTCCTGCCTGCATGATTTTCTGCGTGAATTTCAGTTCCTTCATGGATGTGTCGACAAAAAACGATTGTATTAGCTGCAGATGTGGCATCAGATGGTGGCGAAGCAGAAGCTGCAGTACCGGGGGCGCCAGCAGCATGGTTGTTCTCACCTGGCTCGGGGGCTTCGGCTGCGGCCGCCGCCGCAGCGACATGTTGTTGAGCGCGACACTGCCGGCCCATCCCGATCTTGAACCCTCCTCCTCCTCCTCCTCCTCCTCCTCTTCCTCCTCCTCCTCCACCTCCTCCTCCTCCCTCCTCCGCCTCTGAGTACGGGGAGGGACAGGATCGGCGGTGGCGACATTGCCAGCCCATCCCGATCTTGAACCTCCGCCCCCTTCGCCTTCTTCGACGCGCTGGCGCTTGGCAGGGGGGCGGGCTAATTGCGCCTGACACTCTGCGTTGAATTCACCGCCTTCTTATGAAACCCCCCGAAGAACGCCGCCGCAGCAGCGCGAGATGATCATGTAAAAACCTGAACCCGACGATCAGCTTCTCCCTGGCGGGGATGTCCGAGACCTCGCCCGCGAGAGTATCAGAGATATCCAGCTTATCAACCTGAACAGGCGCAGTGGTGTCAGCAGCCCCCACCCATGCACGAAGTTTTCGCGCACCGCCTCCGGCCCTGCTGAGCTCGTCATTCGCCTGATGGACCCTGGCCCGCTGGGCGTCGAGCTCCCGTTGCAAGTGATCGTAGACCGTGCACTTTTTTGTGTAATTTTTCCTTGCCAGCTGCGCAGCTCCTGTCACTCCTTGTTGACCCGGTACTGCAACGGAGCCTCCGCTTGAGCCAGCTCCTATGGCTGCACGAGCACCTCGTAGCGCTCGGCGCCCTCGGTGTCGCCGCGCTTCAAAATGGTGGCTACCAAACTCTCCAGCCCCCGCAGCTCGGATGAGCCCGCAGCGCCGCCGCCCGACGATAGGCCGCCATCGAATTGCGGGCCACTGCGGAGCGGGAGCGCATACTGCTGCTTGGGCCACTCATTGGCCCACCAGTCCTTGTCCGCTGGGGTGAGGTCAACGCGCGCCGCCTTGCAATGCTTGCGATGCCACCACTGGGCTCTGTTCTGGCGGCGCACTGCCCGCAAGCCCATGTGCTTTTGGCAAGACCAACCGCGCGCCACAAGTCAGTCCTCATCTCCTCCCCCACCTGACTGGCGGGCCCGCGGAGCTGGAGGGCGAGGCCCACCAGCACACGGGAGACCACCAGCAGGAGGGACCATGCCTTCGTGCTACTTCTTCGCGTTCGCACCCGGAAGAGGGCGCTCAAACCTGCACGCTGATGGTAACAGCACAAGGGGAAACCCCGCCAGACGGGCGCTTGCCCAAAATTTGAGCCAACAACTATGCGATACCTGGGGGGGGGGGTCGAAGGTTGCAGGGAAGGGGCCCCATGGGCCCCCCCCTGGAAGCCAAAAGGAGCACGCAGGGTGCATGGTTCTTTCTTCTCCCCCGTGTACTGCCCCTCCACGACGCAACGCGCAAGAGAGGCACGCAGCTTGGGCGAGGGGAGAAGTGGCGGTCACCCTGGCGCCGGTTGGGGTGACATCTGGGGCGCGCCGCATCAGCGGCCCTTGATGGAGACGCGGACGCAGGGCAGGCCCCCCGTTCGGACCGCATGAGCCACGCGCAGCCCCATGACCCGCCTTGTGGGATGTGAGGGGGTCGGCGCCAAGGCGGGCGCAGCCCTTCTGGTTGTTCTGTACCTCCACCCTTGCCCTGTCACCGCTTTCCGCCTCGCAGGGCTCTAGAGCACCACGGCGCGCGGGGAGCGCTGCCCCCGGGCGTGCGCGACAGAACGAGGGATGCAGCCTCTTTCGCTGCACGTCCCGCTCCCGCGTGTATGTCTCCCGTTCTTATGAGCAGCCACCGTGGTATCCACGGCCCGCTCCTCGACCGCGCCGCTGCAGGCCAGGTCGGGCGTGCGAGGCAGCCACTTTCGACACCTTTCCTCCGGCGGCGAGGCGGCGGCACCGTCGCGAAGCGCCAAACCGGGACGCGTTGGGCGCCTGGCGTGAGCAGATAGGTGGATTGGACGCGGCAGTCGCGCGCAGAGAAAAAAACATAAAAGATTGTCGCGAAGCGCCAAGCCGGGACGCGTTGGGAGCCTTGCGTGAGCAGATAGGCGGGTTGGACTTGGCAGTCGCGCGCAGAAAGACAAAGGTCACGCCAGGCGAGCGAGTGCGCGAGAGGGAATCCAACAGCACACGCAGGCCGTACGAGATAGGAGAGCCCATCCAACTTGCCAGCCACCAGCGACCTGCGATGCGAACCGCCCCTGGCCATTGCGCCAAGGGCACTCCGAGCGCAAGCGGCAACGGACGCGGACGGCAGCACCGCAGATAGCAGAGGGAGGACGACGACGACAGACGACGAAGGAGAATGAGGAGGAGTGGAATCGGCCAGTCCGATGTGGCGTACTCCGAGCTCGCGCTGGCACCGTCGCCAGCACGCACAACAATACGTTGAGACACAACGCTTGCTGGGTGCGATTCGTCCGGGGTTCGCCCTGGCACCGTCCAGCCAGTCTGGTTTGTAAAACACATGATGTGGCAAACTGGCGCATCCGGGTTCGCGCCGTCGCCGTTGCAAGTTTTTTGGACGACAAGATGCCAATATCCCCAACTTGCCAATTGTGGCGGTCGGACAGACAAACGCAAAAGTTCCGCGGAGGAGGGAGGGAGGAGAAGGGCGAGGAAGAAGAGGAGGACGAGGGCGACCCCGTGAGCGCCTGAGCTTGACCACCGACGCTCTGTTTGGCCAGCCGCGCGGCGGGGAACGAACATACAGGCACACATATATATATATATATATATATATATATATATATATATATATATATACATATATATACACGAGTATGGACCCGTGAGTAGGCCCACGGAGTTACATGGGTCGAAAATTGCCGACGCGCGTTTTTGGTTTTGGCTCGGGAAATTAATGTGTGACCTCTCGAGGCCCTCTTGGGGGTCTTCTGTGAATAGAACCCGTGTAATACATTCATATATACTCCTTATCCTCACCTCTCCTGCGCCTGGCCGTTTGGGCTCAGGTATTGAGACAGATCGATCAGACCTTTGATCGTGCAGGAGGGAAAGACATCCATCTATCCCTCCTTCTCTCTACCAACGGATCAGGGGTTCTGTGCCCTTGTACTTCAACCCTATACACAGGTTATCAGCCCTTTAAAGCTCAGAAAGAGCGTGTTCTACCGCTGCTGGCGGAAAACCGGGCGGGGTCACTACCGGTTCGAACCCCTCCCCCCCCCCCCCCTCCGGAAAACCGGGGGGGGTCACTACCGGTTCGAACCCCATCCCCCCCCCCCTGCTCATCATGAAAAGGGGGGGGGGTCACTACCGGTTCGAACCCCCCCCCCCCCCCTCCGGATCCGGAAAACCGGGGGGGGTCACTGCCGGTTCGAACCCCCCCCCCTCGAAAACCGAGTGGGGGTGCGGACAGTGGTGGGGACGGTGTTGGTGGGGACAGTGGTGAGGGGATAGCGGGACAGCGGTGGGGACAGTGGGACAGTGGGACAGTGGTGGGGACGGTAGTGGTGGGGACAGTGGTGGGGACAATGGTGGGAACAGGGGGGGACAGTGGACAGTGGTGGTGACGGTGGTGGTGGGGACAGTGGTGTGGGGACAATGGGAATGAGGTGGAAACAGTGGGACAGTGGAGGGTACAATGGTGGTGGGGACAGTGGTGAAGGCGGTGGCGAGGACGGCGGTGGGACAATGGGACAGAGGTACAGTGGGGACAGTGGTGGGGACAGTGGGGACAGTGGTGGGAACAGTGGGACAGCTCAGTGGGACAGCGGAGGAGTCAGTGGGACAGTGGGGACAGTGGGGATAGTCGGGCAGTGGTTGGGGCCGTGGAGACAGTGGGGAGAGTGGAACCGTGGTGGGAACAGTTCTGGGGACAGCGGGGACAGTGCGACAGTGGTGGGGCCACTGGTGGGGACAGTAGGGGCGGTGGTGGAACCAGTGGGGACAGCGGTGGTGAGGACAGTGGTGCTGGGAACACCAGTGGGGGATGTGATGCGGACGGTGGTGGGGACCGGGAGTCGTTTGCTGGCGGTGAGTAGGGGGGGGGGGGGGGGGGGGGGGGTTCGAACGGCAGTGACCCCCCCCCGGTTTTCCGGAACCGGAGGGGGGGGGGGGGGGAGGGGTTTCGAACCGGTAGTGACCCCCCCGGTTTTCGAGCGGGAGGGGGGGGGGGGGGGGGGTAGGGGAGGGGGTGGTTTGCCGGGGGAGGGGGGGGGAGGGGGGGGGGAGGGGTTCCAGCAGGGGGGGGGATTTTCGGAGGGGGGGAGGGGGGGCGACCCCCGGGTTCCGGAGGAAAAGGTTGGCAATTTTCCACAGTAAAGCGGCGGTGGATCACGCTCTCTCAAAGCTCACCTTCACCGACCCGCCCGTCGTGACCTCGCACGCGGTCTCGATGGAGCCCCTGCGGCGCATGCGCCGCAAGGGGTCCATCAAGGCCTCGCGTCGGAGCTCCCCCACGGCGCGACGGCTCGGTGACGAGTTGGAGAGCCTTAATGCGGACTGTGTTGGTGTTCCAGATACCCCACCCAGCTCCGACGGACCCGAGGCGCGACTAGCTGCTGAGCTTCACCGCAGCGCCGCCCGCGGGGGGA